TTGAAAAATATCACTTATTTAAAAATGTGGATACTCTTATATAAAAAAATACAACATTTAACTGTTATATTGGTTTAATATAAACATTGAATTATTTTTGAAATCTTGGTTTTTACTCCACATATTTTTAAGTTCTCTGAACTTCTTTGCTTCGCCGCCCCTTTTGACTGCTATAGTACTTAATGGACGTATGTATGATTTGATGTTTTTTTGGCTACCTCCCTCTTCTTTGCCTCTTAGTTTTCATTTTATTCAAAATTACACTATCAATGGAAAATGCACCAGCTAAAAACTGGGAGCTTACACTTTATGAGCTTCAACGCGAACCCCAGAAACCAATAACGGATGGAACGGAGATTGCGGTTAGCCCCCGCAGTCTTCAGAGCGAGCTTATGTGCCCTATTTGTCTCGATATCCTCAAAGTAACTATGACGACCAAAGAATGTCTTCACAGATTCTGTTCTGAATGTATAGTGACTGCCCTTAGAAGTGGTAACAAAGAGTGCCCTACATGTAGAAAGAAGCTTGTATCCAAACGTTCCCTCAGGAGGGATCCCAATTTCGATGCGCTTATTGCTAAAATATATCCTAGCAGGGAGGTAAGTCTTTGTATTTTTTAAACCACCTTTTTCAGGAATATGAGGCACATCAAGACAAGGTATTGGCAAAATTAAATAGGCATCACCTGGGATCGTCTTTAACCAAGTCCTTCGACCAGCATCTTGGATTTGGACCTTCTAGTATACATCGTTCAAGATTTTCTGTTAATGGCCGTAACACTAGCACTTCGTTTGCCACCCTCGCAAATGGCGATCCATCTACTGGTGTTGGAAGTGAGGAAGATACATTGATAACAGAGGCAAGCCCAATAATTTACTCTTTGCTGATTATTTTTTCCACAAAAATGATTCTTGACTTGAACATTAATCAACTTTTTTTTGGCTAACCATTTAATTTTAATTCTATAGCCGAACGATGTCACTGGTTCAAATAGTAATGTACCAGGTCAACATATGTCCGCCAATGGGGCAAACGCTGCCTCAATATCTCGAGCTAACTCTGATGTAGAAAGTGGAATGGATACCTATTCTTTGGGTGGTGCAAGTAGCTCAGCTGCATCTGACGCTGGTGGAACCGGAGGAAGAGCCACTACTTCCTTAGGCTGTTCGAGACATGCAGGGAACAATG